TTCCTTCCTGGGTTGAACACTGCACTGGTCATGGCATGCCATCTTAAAAAATCTTAAATCATTTAAAGGAAATATTGTTAGTTCTTTTAGGTGTGGCTATGTTTTAGTATCACAGTTATGTTTTTGGAGGGAATCCTTATATTTTAGAGACACATTCTGAAATATTTATGTATGAAATGATAGGATGTCTAGGATTTCCTTCAAAATAATATAGCAGAAATAGGGCATGAGGATACAACAACAGTGACTATAAGATCACAACTGCTGCAGCAGGATGATGGCTACATGAGGAGTTGTCATATTGTTCTGTTTACTTCTGTGTATGTTTAACATTTTCCATAGGAAAAAGTCAAAAACCTTTCATCATTATAATATCTAGAAAAGTAGCAACTCCTTAGTTTATCTTTCAAAGCCTTCATTAAGCTTTGCATTTGCAGTTAATTTTTTTTTCAACAGCAGCGGATTTTACTTTTATTTTATTTTTTATTGGTTAAGTTATTACATATGTGTTCTTATCCCCCCCATTACCCCTTACCAACATACATGCCCTTGACCGGAATCGAACTGGGGACCCCTCAGTCCTCAGGCCGACACTCTATCCACTGAGCCAAACTAGTCAGAGCACAAAGTTGATTTTTAAAACTAATATCTCCCTTTTCCCACTCATGCAACTCATGCATCAACCAAACTGGACAACTGAAAATTCACTACACATACCTGGTATATCCCCACTGCTGGATTTTAGCACAGTTTGTCCCCTCTGACAAAAATGTTTTGCTCTTCACACCTCTATCTCTACCTGTCAAATTCTATCCAGTTCCATATCAAATACCACTTGTTCCATGAAGCCTTTTATTACTTGACCATAAGAAATCTAATCTTAAAAAAAGAAATCTAATCTCTCCTGTACCATATTCCCTTTGCATTGTCTATAAGTTATTTTAAATAATTACCTCATTAAGTGATATATACAGTTAATTAGTAAATTTTTCATAGAAAATTATGATTTTGTGTGGTTTAGTGTCAATGTGAAAGCTAATGAACAAAATAAACTGGTGAACAAAATAGAACCAGAGACATAGAAGCATGAACAGACTGTCAAATCTCAGAAGGCTGGGGTGGGTGCATAGGTGGGAAAAGATCAACCAAAGAACTTGTATGCATAACCCATGGACATAGAAAACAGTGTGATGAAGGCCTGAGGGAAGGGAGAGAGGAGGTGAGTTAGAATGGTGGAGGAGGGGGGGAAGGGACATATGTAATACTTTCAACAATAAAGATATTTTAATCAAATAAAATAAATGATATTAAGTCAAAATATTATGAATAGTTACCTGACATATACATTCTTAGGCATTATACAAAGAATATAATTTGGTCCCAAATTAAGTATATTTTCACTTAACTTTTAATTAAGAATTTGAACGATGGAAGGGAAAGCATGAGACTTCCCATGAAAAGTCATAACCATTTGTACAGAAATAGTTTATATTACTCCAGAGCTTTCAAAGTAAGCCTCAAAATAGATATAGATGAAAAAGACTCAGACAGACAACAAAGCACTAATATTTTAAGAATAAGCACATTTGACATGGGAAATTTTCTCATGATATAATATTAAGCTGAAAAAATCAGAATGCTGAACTGTATACATAATGTGATCCTGATTTTGAAAGAAAAAGCTATGTTTCTATATATACATAGAAAAAAGGAAAAGGCAATACAACCGTTATCAGTGGTTATCTCTAGGTAACAGGATGAGAAGTGATTTTTTCATTCTTTTTGAATTTCTGTATCCCTAAATGTTTTGCAATAAGCAGCTATTATTTACATTAGGGGAGATAATAGTTAAAAGTATATTTGAAAATTAAATCGCTGTCATTCCTTATACCAAATGGGTTAAATGTTTAAACCTGAAATGATAGAACCATAAAAATACTAGAAAGAAATATGGGTTAAATTTTTTAATAATTCCAGGGAGAAAAAGACCTTGGAATCTAATGAATAAAATAAACCAACAAATTAGGTCCAGAGGCATGGAAGCATGGCACAGACTAACAGAACTCAGAGGGAAGGGAGAGGGGGCAAGTAGAAATTAACCAAAGAACTTATATGCATTATAGAGGCCGGGTACATGAATTCATGCACAGGCGGGGTCCCTAGGCCTGGCCTGCAACAGGGGCCGATTGGGGCCACAGGAGGTTGGCCGGGGGGAGGGGCTGTGGGAGGTTGGCCAGTTGCAGGAGGTTGGCTGTGGGAGCACACTGACCACCAGAGGGCAGCTCCTGCGTTGAGTGTCTTCCCCCTGGTGGTCACTGCGTGTTATAGCGACTGGTCAACTGATCGTTCAGTCAACAGGTCATAAAGGTCGCTTAGGCTTTTATATATATAGATATGCATAACCCATTGACACAGAGGATAGTGTGGTAAAGGCCTGGGGTGGAGCAGGAACCAGGTGGAGGGGGACAAAGGAGGGTCATCTGTAATACTCTCAACAATAAAGATTAAAAAAATAAAAAACATCATAAAGTTTAAAAAAGAGAAAAAGACCTAAGATGCCATATAACCCAAAAGGCATTAAAGCAAAGATTAACTTGACTATGTAATCTAAAAATAATGCATCACAAAAAAATCATTAACAGGAAATCAAAAGACAACCTGGAAAAAACAGCAACATACCAAAGACAAAGGGCTTTTTTCCTTAATATATAAAAATCCTCCTACAAATCAATAAAACTAAGGTCAACAATCCAATTAAAAATTAGAAAATGGATGCATATAGGTAATCCACAAAAAACATTAATACAAATTAATATTAAACATGTTTCTATGTTCAATCTCACTCATGAGGGAAATGCAAACTAAATCTAGAATATATTGAACTATAATATATGTCAGATAAAGGAAGATTAACATTTTTGGTACATTTCCTTCCAAGAATGTAAGGAAGTAGGCACTCCCATACATTGCTGATAGGATTAATAATTCTTTTTACCTCAATAGAGACAATTTGGAAATTTCTGTCAAAACTAAAAATGCACATACCTTTTGAGTCACCAATTCCTTTTCTGGGGATTTATGCTATAGATATACTCCTACATGTGCAAAAAGACTTTATTTATAAAGATATGTTTTAGAACAATGTTTGTAATAGCAAAAGATTGGAAATCATCTAGATGTCCATCAACAAATTATGGTTCATCTAATAATGAACCAGGTCTTTCTAAATGTACTGATATGAACTACTTCTAAAATAATGTTAAATGAAAAAAGTTGAGTATAAAAGATTATATAAAGCATGTGACTGCTAACATTATATAAATGCTTAGACTATCTTAGGATAATAAACAAGAAATAGATAAGTTATTGCTTCAGGGGAAGGGAATTGAATGTTCAGGATTGAAATAGGAGAAAAACTTCACTTTTTGAGGTTATTTAAAAACATTTTTTTTACTCTTTGGGTTTTGCACCATGTACATGCATTATTTATTTGAAAAGTGATTATTTAAACGTGAACAAAATTTAAAAGATTGCTAAAAAAGAAAAGTAGACATAGGGAGAATAGTAGCTCAAAATACCCCTGATTCAACAGCTCTGGGTAAATGTATGAAACCTGAAGCCTGCAGACGGAGGTTAGGGTCACCGATTCCTTAGAATATAGGAAAGGAATGTTAAGCTATCATAGTTTAAGAAAGTTAAACAAAGATACATGAGAATATGTATAAGTCAGGAGGGAGGAAAATCCAGAAAGTTCTACAGACATAAGGTAAGAAATATTTAGAAAGACTCAAAAATGGGAAAAAAACATAGAAAGTTATACCATACCATAAGAACTAAAAGTATGTTATCTGAAAAGACCTACTGATACTAATGACACTGAGGTGTAATAAAAAGAATTAAAGAAGTCAGCTTTCCACTGAATTTCCCATAGACATAACCTAGTTAGGAGCTCTGGTCCAAATTTATTGACCCTGTTTATTGTTTCTACAACCAATGGGCAGTTCTTTGGTGATTTGTGGTCAAGCATGCCATGGAAGAATCATCACTTCTTTTTTCCCTGGGAATCAACCCAACACACACACACATACACCACCCAGTTCAGCAAGAAGTGCATTAGGTTTTTTGTTGTTGTTGTTTGCTTCTTCTTATCTTGACCCCAATGGCATGCTGATGAGTCATCTGACAACATCAGTATCTTTAACCTTGGTTATTTATGATCCTAATTAGAAGGTAACCCTTTTGTGCTCTCCTACCAGGCCCATCCAATTGACCCAGGAGCAAACTAAAAGAAGTGCAACTTATAGGGCAAATTGTTTAAACCATCTAAATAAGCAAATTAAATATCACTGAAGACAGAATGGAGTCTTTCACATGAACACTACAGCAGCCAGAAAATGGGTATTAAGAAAAAAAATGACCTAACTTACACAAAACCAATAAATAAAATTCTCTTGTGCTAGGCTGCTGAATGGCTTTCTAGGTGAATAACCTGCGGCCTGAATACCCTCTATGGGTGACTAAAACTGTTTAAAAGAGCTGACAATATTGCATTTGGCCTCATGAAAACACAGACTATGAGTATTTGTTGTTGTGTATATTCCAAAATAATAAATTGGAATATTTATTGTATCCTGTCTACATTTTACATGTTAATCACTATACAGTTTCTGCAATTATTTCTCTTTAGTTTCATCAGGAATGCTACCAAAGTAGAAGGATGAAGCAATCAGTGGAAGCCTTGACATTGTCTCTCCTGACATCTAGTGGATGGAAACCAGATACCACAATAAATATATTTTTCAAAGGATCAGCTTTGGGTGAAGTGAATTTCCCCTTCTCTCTCTCTCTCTCTCTCTCTCTCTCTCTCTCTCTCTCTCTCTCTCTCTCTCTCTCTTTCAATTATCCAAGATCTTCAGATCATATTTCATATTTCAAGTTGAAATACAAGACTAAATATCTCCTACTTATGGGTCTGAGTTACTGGTTAGGTTTGTATTCACCAAATGGCCATGTTTTTTCTGTTTTTCTTTAGAATAGCCTGGTAATTCCATAAGCACTCCTTTTGTAGGTATCTAAGATAACAAGGCCTAGTAATCAAAAGCATGGGCTCTGTATTAATTTTCTGTGGTTGCTATAACGAATCAACATAATATTAGTGGCTTAAAACAATGCATATTCATTACCTTATAATTCTGGAGATCAAAAGTCCTAAACTCAGTGTGTCAGCATGGGCTGAATTCCTTCTCAAGGTTCTAGGGAATGATGCATTTTCTTGCCCTTCCTAGCATCTAGAGGCGGTCCATACTCCTTGGCTCATGACTCCATTGCTCCATCTTCATTTTTCAGGATACATCTTAGTGACCTAGTCTTCAATAACATGACAGCATCTGCTTATCTTGGACCAATGTCCAGCTTGCAGTGATCAATTAAATTGTAGGGACATTCCTAATAAGGCAGGAGATATTCTGCAGAAGAACATGAACTTTAGCCCCTAAAAGCTATGTTTTCAGCTTCTAGTTTTGAGATATTATATTGGCCTTCAGGAAATCTGGTTGCTATTTCAAGATATTCTACTTAACAGGACACTTAAATGGAATATTCAATGACCTAACTGACATGACAAAGATGCCCAGAGAATTACCACCTACTTTATAATCTATCCCCTAATGACTTCCTAATGCTTTAATTTGAAGAAATAAAAAAGGCAGGGGGCAGGAAGCCATTTATTCAACAAATGCAGATAAGACTTAATATGAAAATATCCTGGCAAAGGATGACATTGTAACCTTAATGCAAATAAGAAATGACCTGACCTATACAAGATCCTTTTCCTGGAGACATATTTTGATAAGCCAGAAGAAACAGACAGTCTGAGTGCCTGAGGGCTGGGAGCATGACGTTCTGGTGGGGGAGAGGCCAGAAGTACACACGACTTAGTCTGCTTCATGAAGGTGAAAATGGCTGTCCCAGTGTGAGGAAATGGGGGTTTTAAGATCTTCAGAAATAATATGACAAAAACAAAGACCTTATTGCTCCTGAGACAATGATTGACTCTGGGAACAAACATCATATGAGGAGACATTTACCTGTCTCTCAAGAAAGTTATTTTCACAAGACTACAGCCACCTCACCCTCCACCACTGCACCTTTCTAGTAAAACACCACTAGGGGTAAAAAAAAGAATGCTGCGCCGAAACCGGTTTGGATCAGTGGATAGAGCGTCGGCCTGCGGACTGAAAGGTCCCAGGTTTGATTCTGGTCAAGGGCATGTACCTGGGTTGCGGGCACATCCCCAGTAGGAGATGTGCAGGAGGCAGCTGATCGATGTCTCTCTCTCATCAATGTTTCTAACTCTCTATCTCTCTCCCTTCCTCTCTGTAAAAAATCAATAAAATATATTTTTTTAAAAAAAGAATGCTGCTGTTGTCAACCAAAGGGGAAAGAAATATGGACTAGAATTGTCCAAGGCCACAGAGTGGCCAAATAGAGAGAGTCGGAGTTTGGGGCAAAGTTTGAGAATAACAATCAAGAAGACCAAGGTGTTGGTCCCACTGTAAGAAAGAGCTGACTTCTGTAAGATGGGAAGCTTTCACTGAATAGAGCTCTTCACAAAGTTTAATCAAAACAAAAGCTATCACCCCTTGTAAAGTTAAATCAACATGGAGATAGGGAGAAGAGAAGCTTTGCAGGCCTATCATTTAGTAAATCAGAGTGACAATGGCCCAAAAATCAATATTCTTTCACAAAGAATCAAGAGATCTGTAGCCACCCCAAGGTAGCTTGATTTCATACACAATTTAAAAGGTTTTGATACCCTATTGAGACCTGAGTTCTGGGACAATTTAAATGGAAGAAATTGTGGTTTCAGGGTATGCAAGTCTTTTAGAGGCCAGCAGTCAGGCCCTTTAGTGTGAGAAATTGATCAACACTGAATAAACAGTATGGATTCAAACTGCACTATTTCTCATTGTGACATTCATTAGTTAACAAACTACTAACAACTCTACAGTCCAGGAACAGAGCCAGGCCTCTAGGAAATAAAGATTAACAAATTGCCTTCAGGAGACACAATCCAGGACAGAAGGACAGACTTCCACAAATACAGTAGAAAGTGCCATAAAAGGAGTATGAATGATGAGCTATACAACATCAGACAAACACCGGTAGGAAGAAGGGAAGGACACATAGGGAAGCTTAACTCAGGAGGGGATTGCTCTCCAGCTGGAACTTCGAAAGATGGGAGTACTCTGTGTGAATAGGTTTATTCTCTTGTGTTATTTTACCTACTTTCTTCCGTGAATGTAGTTCTCACATACTGTTCAGAGCCTCAAGTTCTCCTCCCATAAGTCTATTCCCACCTGCTGACTGCTACTGCCAGCTGCCCTGGCTCTCAGGCCCCTCGAACCTTTCCTATGTCTTTTTTTTTTATATATAATCTTCACCCGATGATATTTTTCCATTGATTTTTAGAAAGAGTGGAAGGGAGAGGGAGAGACAGAAAGAGAAACACTGATGTGAGATAAGCACATCAATTGGCTGCCTCCCATATGCACCCTGACAAGGGACAGGGATCAAGCCTATAACCGAGGCATGTACTCTTGACCAGAATCAAACCCAGGACCCCTGCAGTCTGAGGGCCAACGTTCTATCCACTGAGCCAAACTAGTTAGGGCTCCTATGTCTTTTTTGATGCTTAAATCACCAGTTACTAAAGTAACTCTTTGGTACATTAGGATAATACATGGTACAAGTTGCTTAGTCCAACACTCAACACTCCAACACTCCCCTCTGACAAAATACTGGTCTTCTTGCATCAGACAAAGTTTCTTTGACTGAAAATAAGTTGATAATTAAAGAGTCCAAGTTTAAAGAGGCAAGAACAATCTACCACCCCCAAAGAAAGAAAAAAGTAGGAAAAATGATTGCCCCATTTTGAAGCTTATAAAAATTGAGTAATGATAAAAAGAGCCTTCTGCAATTTGAGATGCCCAAGTCAGGTATCAGACCAGCCAAGTGTCAAATACATATGATAAAGGTTTAAGTAAACATCATCTCACCCTATAAAAGGTCTGATTTGTTTATTTGTCCATTTACTTTTTTATTTTTAATTTATTTACTATTTATAATCCACTTGTTTTTAATTTGATACAACTTACAGTAAAAAAAAAATGCAAGGAGAGAGAAACCAAGATGGCGGCATAGGTATACACTGGAAATTGCTGCCTCCCACAACAAATTCAAAAATACAACTAAAACACAAAATGCACATCATCCAGAACCACAGGAAGGCTGGCTGAGTGGAAATTCTACAACTAGAAGGAAAGAGAAAAGCACACTGAGACTCAGAGGAGGTGCGGAAGTGCAGAGGTACAGAGGCGCATGCGGCAAGGGCTGGCAACTGAGGACGTGGCTGTCTTTTTGAATTGGAGGGGAGTCACAAGCTCCTGACTGCTCTGAACTCTAGTTCCGGGAAGTCTCTGGGGCCCCAGGACTCATACGGGGAGAAACTGGAGTGTCTGGCAGG